AATATCACCTCACAAGCATTATTCTGCTTTCCTCCTTGGCATTGCACTTTTAATAACCCCAAGCCCTCATTAACAGGAGAGACACTTGTTTGATCCAACGATCCCAAGCTCAGTTTCGTGTGGTCAATGACACAAAACTAAGGACATGAAACTACTTTTAGGGTGTTCTGCCTTTTTATCGAATTCAGAGTACTGTAATGCTGTGATCAATGGTACATCCGGGTCATTCGCAACTCCCCCTGGTGGCTACAGTCCCAACATGGCATGCACATACACCATCAACACTCCAACGCCAGCTGAACTCCACTTCACCTTCGAGGAATTTGACATTGAGAGTGCAAGCAGATGCATGTACGACGCCGTTACCATGGGCGAAGACAGACTGTGTGGAAGCAACCCCGGCAGCAAGACATACCGTGAGTGTAGCTCACTTTCCACCTCTATAATTTCGGTTACATGTTTATCATTTCTGCTTTCCGTTCATTTCTGATGAACAAGAAACACTAAACTAGAAACAGTTTTAGTTACTTTGAAGTATTTTGAAATTACAAATAAAAAGGTAAACCTAGCATACTTTCACATATGAATTTCTTTCTGTAAAACCTGTATTAGTACTTCCAGTAACTTTATGTTTATTGCTCCTCAGAATCTGATGGAACCTTTGTGATCACCTTCACATCTGACGGCTCCGTGCAAAGGGAAGGTTTCTACATGTCCTTCACATCATCGCCAGGTGAGCTTCGCACATATACTTGTAAACAATATGGATCTGGTAATACAAGTATATTTGTATAGAAGTGCCCATAAATTCAAGTCTTAAATATTATTTAACCAATTTCTTTGTTTCAAAAACGTAAACATAAAACTATCTTTACAATTGTGGAATCCACAATCAAAGTGATCATATAAATGTGATGTGGGGTTGTTTTCTAAACAAGATACACTGACACATACTTTTTAACTGATATTCCCATTTTCTTTTACGCAGTGGCATAAACAGACTGACCTACACCGCGAGATCTAGTTGACAACAATATGAGTAAATAAACTCCATGTGCTCTATATTTATCTTTCATCTCATTATTTCAATGAGTTAATGACGCTTTGAACTGTAAATTAACTCATCACGACGTCTTTCGTCTGTATGCCGCTATTCGCTATGCAGAGTTGTGAACCTTTGTTGCACCGGAGACCGCTGATCGACGGTTCGAAATCCAAGATTCACCCTGATTATGTTTCTGGTCTTATGTTTCTTGTGTGTTTCACCACAGAGGCAATTGTCTGAGACCTGCATCACTTTGGGTTTTCTGAACACAAGAAGCTTACACGCCGGATTGTAGCTGAAATACTCTTCCAAGTGGCGTTAATACCAACTCACACACTCAATCATAAAGTCTATTAATATGTTACAAGTCTCTATTCATCTTTCTGATGTTGGAGAGTCCAGCCATGGGCCTATTGGAATTCATTGTGAAGGTACATACAATCCGCCATAGGGCACTATATGTAAAAACAGGCGCATCCACAATGGCAAAATATCCATAAGGATAGGCCTGGGAGACGAACTGTAACCCGGACCGCCGATTCCCAACACGACACAGACCGCAGACTGGCGTGTATCCAGCTAACGCCACTACAGTTTGGCTTTATACCGTTCTTTCACGCTTTCGTTATGCTCTGTGTCGGCCCACATGTACAGAGCAATCTTAGTTACAAGCGATTTTAGGCGCCGAAGATCAACTTTAGAGCCACCATACAACTGTCCTATTCCACTTGCACAAACCGATCTTTGCACGATTGTAAGATGGCTTTGGGTTCAGTTCGAATTCTTCAACGATGGAGATACGATTATCTTTAACTTGACTCCCGTCTACAGGTATCTGCAAATGCGCAAAGGTTGGTGCTCATACCAATAGTGGAACCGGTTACGACACACAACACGAACCTCCTTCCATCGCACCTTGTGAAGTTTTACTAAAGGTCCCAATTATGTGATGAAAACAATGAGTAGGATGATGTCATGTAGGTTTTTTTCTGTATTGATACTGCAGTGATTTGTGAATTTGACATCACATCAAGAAAAAATACCTACCCATCTTTTATGGAAATATTGAAATAGGAATAAATACATGCATAAATTTGGCTCCAGGTTTAGTGGCATAATCATTGTGCAGTATAAGCAGTAATAATTTCCCTTATAACATAACACGTAAATGTAGGATTCGCCAATGGTTGTTATAAGGTCACTAGTTAAAACGCATCTATTTGGGGGAGGGGAAGGCTTTTCGTAAAATCCTTAATATATCCTATATGTATATATTTTGCTGCTATAATAAAAGATGCTATGACTACTATGGGATTGTGAATGAAAGGGAAATAGGAGTAATATATAATATTTCGGGAAAGCAGTTGTTTACTATATATTAACTTACATTCAGCACGCAGCCAAGTGACTCGTGACTTATTATCTTGATACACGTACAGTTCACATTCAACATGCAGACCAGTGACATATGACTTATCTGGATATACGTCCAGCTTACATTCAACAACCAGGCAAGGGACATATGACTTATCTCCATACACGTACATCTTACATTCCACATGAAGCCCAGTGACGCATGACTTATTTGATCCACGTACATCTTACATTCCGCATTCAGTCCAGTGACATAAGATATATCTGAATACACGTACAGCTTACATTCCACATGCAGCCCAGTGACGTATGTCTTATCTGGATACACGTACAGTTTACATTCCACATTCAGTACAGTGACATATGTCTTATCTTGATACACGTACAGCTTTTATTCAACATGCAGCCCAGTGACATATGGCAGCCCAGTTGAGTAGGCTATGCGTGAGAGAGTGAGTGAATACGAGAGGGAAAGAGGGCGAGAAGGGTGGCTTAGAAATAGAGTAGCGGCCAACCCTTAAAGCGAGGCTGATTTAATGAATAACCCCTCATCGCAGTAGAACAAAGCACAATCATATTTTTCTTCACAAGATGTCATTAATGCATTAGAAAACGATGGTTGTGGTGATTTCTTTTGGTGGCAGACATGTATTTTGGTGGTAAATTGCATATTTGTGTCTAAAGAAGTCAGTCTGCATTTTGCAATGCTCATTTTATAAACAAAATCAGTGTGCTGACTTAGGAAACCTACAAAAGAATAATTAGCAAAATTATCAAAGTCGAGTTATGGGCCAAAATGTGTCAAAAACAGGAACAAATTATTCAATTTTCATTTTCAAAATATTCCTAAACTCAAGGTAATGTTACTTCCATATTGACAACCGTGTCGTGTGATATCTCAAAATCTGCCTGAATGCTTAAGGAACTTACAATGATATCCATATATACAATATAACATTTAGTAAATGTGATCCGGACCCCCATCCTGTGAAGGAAACAACAAATAATAACATAGTTTAAAAATAACTATGACAACACTAACATTCTTGTACACCAATGTGTTTATTTGAACACATGAATCGTTTAAGTATCTTACATATATGAGCTTGAGAAATTTGATTTATCCAATATGGCGGACAAAATGGCCTCCAAGATGGCCGCCAATTCCATAGTCGTGTTCACTTTGGAATGTATAAGAACTTTATATGTCAAAATTTTGGTTTCGACCGGGAACTCCATCTAGCGTGTTATTGTCATATATAAGATAATTACCGCCTGTGTTATGTACTATAATTGCTGATCATATTGATTTACTTTAAAGTGTCAATGTGAAGTACTCATATGCTTACGGGATCGGGTGGTCAGGTTCGCTGACTCGGTTGATGCATGTCACCGTATCACAATTGCATTGATCGATACTCATGTGGCAGTGTCATTTCTATAATTTATCTGTATATATATGGTATTGGTTTTAGACAGTGTAATTGGTGTATTTTATTAGATCATGTACGGTACAAGTTTCCAGCCTGATTGCTCCAAGCTGAACTTGGGCTGGTAAGTTCTTTTGTTTATTGTCAGGGGCGAGAGTATTCTTTTGTCTTGCTTTTAGAGGGCAAGCTTGTTTACTAACACAAGCACTGAGTCAGTCTACTATATACAGCTCTCTCTGGACAGTCACGACATGAGACTCATATTTTGACACGTATTGTGCCAAGGACTTTCACGGCTTCATCTTCACTATAAATCTCCAAAGGTTAGTTTTAATACTAGATTATAAACATTATGTAGGATGTAATATTTGTTTTAGTACAGCATTTAAATGTAAACATTATTTTAGTGTAGATATACTTGTGTGATTTGAGTGTATGAATGTAATTTATGTCATAAGTAAAGTAACGATAATAAACACACCATTCATGTTTATGATTCTCTGATGTAATGTACTATAATATGTTTTTATGATAAAGGCGACAGATATAAGTATTTGTGTCCGCCATATTGTTTGCCATGAGAAATGTGTGTTGTGTATAATTATGAGCATATTACAGCATAGGTAATGTGTATATTTATGTAGGTTTATCTGTGACATTCTATTTGAGATAATGTTGGTAGTAGGTTCAGATTGAATTAATATGGCAGTAGATTACTATGTATATTATTCTATGATATTTATATTAAAGTTAGAATGACATGTGTATGTTATTTATAGAATGGATCTGAGTGACGAGTGATTTGGCCTACTATCACCTGAGTGCCATACATTCAGTAGGCATAATAATTTAGTTATTCATCGTTTATATTTCATGTATGTATAATATACATCTTGTATATAAAAGTGCATTGATACAGTTGAAGTAATATGGAAAACATCATATAATGTGAATGCATTTTAATTATTATATAAATAACGGTGATAAGTGCAATGTTTTAATGAGTATAATTATTTATTTATTATTTGTTCAATTATGTTCCATGGTGAATATTGGAATGGAAAATAAACTTGTGGCTTTTTGGTCGCAACTCACCCCCAGCAGGCGTTGGTCTTAACTGTGATATTTGCACCACCCTAACCTGCTACAAAATGGAGCCCCCGGTGAGGAAAACTGACGAAAGAGGAGAGTGAGGTGCCACATCAGTGAGATATCAGCTGTACTCGCATACGTGTTAGTAGTATATAGTAGAGCTCTACTTGTAATTTACTGTGACACTATGTAATCTTGGCCGCGTACGCGTCTGACATTGCACGTCAGCTTTCAGTGTCTTTGGATCGCTTTGTTCTATCTTTCTCGTGATCATGTGATCACAGTTTATATATATTAATTGCGTATTTGTCATGGAGCAGTGTAACTTGCTACTTATGTATTTGTAAATTCACAAATTATATACCCATAAGGTAATCATATTGTGCTAAATTTGTCTGATAATATGTAATTTAAATTTGATATATTGGATTATCTTGTCATTGTTAGACAAGATGTGATACTATTTCATCAACTATAAGTATTTGTGTTTTGTAAATTAAACTTAACCATTTCTTAGTTGTGTTCATAATTAAGATGTGATTGAATGCAGCTATTAGTTTTTCACTTGTGAAATAGAATTTGATGTTTAGAGTTTAGTTAGTTTAGAGTTTTGTTAGTTACTTTATTTAGTTACTTTAGTTAGTTACTTTAGTTACATTAGTTACCTTTGTCATTAAGGGTACCCTACTAGTTGGTGATCACCATATTACCTATCTGTCATGCCTTAGTTACTTTACTTAGTTATATTACCTTGCAATGCGTGTTTGGTTGAAGTGAGTTTGTGTGACTGTGTAATAAAAGTGAGTAGGTTTAAGCTTATCTATAATAAGGTGTTAAACTTTCTGTAATTATGTAGGTATAAGTGGCTTGTGTTGTCTCTCTTTCTGACTGACAGACTTGACTGATTACCTTAGCCGCACTCAGTATATGCACGTTGCACCATGTAACCATATATCTATTTTTTTTATTTACTCAGTGGAACCTTTCGTAAGTGAAGTTCTTTATTGACCATATTTGTTTTTCAATTTTCAGCAGATGAGTTTATAAATCTGAAGTGTTCTGTTATATTGTGAAGTTCATTATGGAACAGTTTGTGTTTGTCATTGATCCTCAGTGAGATGTATCACCCTCACTGAGTGGGAGTACTGGACTCTTTTCATTGGTTTGGTATTGTTTGTGTGTTGTAGTTTGAACTTGGACTAGGTTTGATCAGGTGAGGTTGCTTGGTTTCTTGACATCTTGTGCGATTTCTTGGAATTTGTGAGTTCTACTTGCATTGTATGAGTTTGTGATTTTGCAATTCTTTGATTATTATATTCTGTGCTCACTCTTCGGTAAATCATTGAGTTTTCTCAGACGGAAATTGACAATATTCTGGAAGCATTCAAGCGTGGAAAGGAGAAACCCAAGGCTAATTCTCCTGAGGATTTCCAATCTTGGCTACAGGATGTATTGTCAGTTAAGACTGAGGTTAAACCAGTTGTGGAACAGAAATCAAACTCTTCTGACACAGGAAATGGAGCTCAGGCTAGTGCTATGAATCATCATAGGTTTCCTAGAATTCCCCAATTCAGTGGAGACAGGACTGGGAAGGAAACACCTTATGACGTCTGGAGGTATCGTGTTGATGGGCTTTTGGAATCTTCATCTTATACACAGGATATTAAGGAACAGGCAATCAAGGATTCCTTGAAGGGAGAGGCTGCTACGATCGCCGTCAACATGAGGCCTGGGACCAGTATTTCATCCCTGCTAAGGAAGCTCAGTATTGTTTTTGGAGTAGTCGAGGGGAGGGAATTAAGGATGGCACAGTTTTATAGCGCTAGACAGAAGGAAGAGGAGGATGTGTCACAGTGGGCTTGTCGTTTGGAGGAACTTCTTTCCCATGCCCTAAAGGATAAGCCGACCAGCAATGAGGATTCTGATGAGATGCTTAGGAGTATGCTTTGGACAGGACTCAAGTCAGACCTCAAGAACATCTCAGGACACAAGTTTGATACCATCAATAACTTTGATGACCTGTTAGAAGCTCTCCGGGAGATAGAGAACAATCAGTTGAGCACAGTCCCATCTGCTAAGACAAAGACACCAGGAACAGCAAAGAGTGCCACTGCACAGGAGCCTGGGTGGAAGAAGGAGATTAAGGAAATGAAAGCTATGATCAACAAGCTTACTTCTGAAGTTGCTGGGATGAGATTAACAAGTGCAACAGAGCAAGAGTTTCCTTATCCTGCCCCGGATCAGAGGTCAATGCCATCAAGTGGACCCCCTAACTGAAACAGACAGCAGTCGAGAGAGGATCAAGGCCACGCTAGCTACGATTCCTATAGGCCACCATGGAATGAAGGATCAGGTGGTTGCCAAGCCTCATATGGACAAGCTCAAGACATGGAGTACAGACCACAGAGGGTAATGGGGCCCACCTGTTGGAGATGTGGACTGGCTGGACATACTCAACACACATGCACAGTTAGACTGGACCATTCTAGATGTGGAAGTGCTTTAAACTCGCGCAGGCCTATGGGCAGGGGCCGCCTGTAGGTTTTTACAAGCGCCCCAGAGATAGGGAAAAAGGAATCCCCGATGGACTTGTGGGTAACGTTAATGAAGTGGACATTCATATTGAAGGGGTAAAGGCAAGAGCACTTCTAGACACAGGAGCTACAGTGTCTATATTATCACAGACCTTCTATGATTCCTACTTAAAGCATGTACCTTTGGAGCTACTTGATAACATTTTGAACATCGAATGTGCTGGAGGAGAGTCGCTACCTTATACAGGATATGTGGATGTCAAGTTGGAAACATCTGGGATAGCATCAGCCAAACTGGTTTCTTGTTTGTTTCTTGTATCGACAGACACCCAGTTTAATTCTAAAGTGCCTGCGTTACTTGGGACCAACATCTTATGCCACCTACTGGAAGGATGCAAGAACACACATTGTGTCCAGTTTCTACAGAAGGCTGCACTGCATACACCCTGGTACTTGGCTTTCCACAGTATGGTGTTGCCAACAGTCAAGTAGTCATCAGAGGCAATGTAGTGAAGAATGTGAACTTTCCTAAAGTATGTGCACTGATCCAACCGACTGACAACGCTGCGATTCCAAGTGACCTTGACATTGCTCCCTCCATCGTAGACTTCAACTTTGAGCACCCTAGCGAAGTTTATGTGCACGTAGCCAACGTCACTACCCAGACAGTTGTTGTACGACCAAGAGCACTGCTATGCGAGCTTCAACCCATCATGTTTAAAGGACTGATGCCATTGGAGTCAGAAGATGAGAAGCGCTTGCTTGAACAGGTTGATATAGAGCAGAAGAGCATATCTCAAGAGGAACTGGACTTAGGACTTGGAGTCATCCTCAAGTTCAAGGACATATTTTTCCAAGGGAGATGATGACTTGGGACACAGTTCTGCTGTAAGACATCGCATCCACTTGACCAAGGACATTCCATTTAAGCAACGCCATAGAAGAATACCTCCTGCCATGTATGAAGAAGTTCATAGTCACCTTCAACAACTGTTGTCATCTGGAGTGATAAGTGAATCACATAGCCCATGGTCATCCAACGTTGTTCTTGTGCGCAAGTCTGATGGAAAACTAAGGATGTGGTGGATTATCGCCAGCTGAATAATCGTTCATTGAAGGACTCGTATGCGCTTCCTCGAGTTGAAGAGATGTTGGATTGTCTCGGCGGCATGAAATATTTCTCTGTCCTTGACATGAAGTCCGGTTACCATCAAGTTGAACTCAAAGAAGAACACAAACAACGAACAGCATTCACCGTTGGACCACTAGGTTTTTATGAGTTTAATCGAATGCCGTTCGGCTTATGTAATGTGCCAGCCACCTACCAGAGATTGATGGAAAACTGCCTGTCAGGATTACATCTCAAGATATGTCTTGTTTATATTGACGACCTCATAATCTTCTCCAAGACCTATGAAGAACATCTTGAACGCCTGGAGCTTGTGTTTCAACGTCTCAGGGAATGCGGCTTGAAATTGTCACCCAAGAAATGCAAGTTCTTCAAGAATAAAGTCAAGTATGTTGGTTACATCGTTTCTAAAAATGGAATCGAAGCAGACCCGGAGAAGATCAACAAGATTAGAGACTGGCCTACACCGACAAGTTCTGAAGAAGTTAGAAAGTTCCTTGGCTTCGCCGGATATTATAGAAAATTTGTACAGGACTTCTCCAAGATTGTGAAACCCCTCTCAGAGCTGATGCCTAAGACGAAAGGCAAGAAACATCGATCACGACAGGATCAGATGACTGTACAGTGGATTTGGGGACCCAACCAGGAAAAGGCTTTCAGGGACTTGAAGAACAGATTAACATCACCACCTGTTCTAGGATATGCAAACTGTTCCCAGCCTTTCGAATTGCATACAGATGCCAGCACACGAGGTCTTGGTGCCGTGTTATATCAGACGCATGAAGGACATCAGCAAGTTATTGCATATGCCAGTAGGAGCCTAAACAAGTCTGAAAGAAATTACTCTGCTCACAAATTGGAATTTTTGTGTTTGAAATGGGCCGTCACGGAAAAGTTTCATGACTATCTTTACGGACATGACTTCACAGTGCTAACAGACAACAATCCTCTGACATATGTGCTCACCAGTGCGAAGTTGGACGCAACAGGGCATAGATGGTTGGCAGCACTCTCAGCCTATAACTTCACGATATCATACCAGCCTGGGAAGTACAATGCTGATGCTGATGCGTTGTCACGACTTCCAACACCCGAGGATCAGTCGACTATGAGACAGATTTCATCACATTCCATCAATGCTATCTGCAACATGACATCTACCCTTAGTCTCGTGGAGGGTGTATCTGTTTCATCAGCCATTATTCAGGAGCAGGAAGTAGAAATAAGTGATGAGAAGTGTGATGCCAATGCCCGAGACTGGAGAAGAGCCCAAGCCAGAGACCCAGCCTTGGATACTGTTATGGCCCATCTGAGGAATGGAACTAAGCCAAGACCAAGTGATTGTCGAGCAGATCCTGAGATGAGTGGTCTCAATAAGAACATTTCAAGCTTCAAACATCAAAGAGGAGTCCTTTACCGAGTTATATCAGTGGATGGTGAAACCTGCGAGCAACTTAGAGATGTCGCCAATCAGTCCTGCGCTGCCTCCATGACAAAGTTGGACATCCCGGATGTGATAGAACTAATTCTCTTAATCGGGATCGCTTCTTCTGGCCTGAAATGACTAAGGACATAGAGAACTATGTCAGCCAGTGTGAAAGATGCATTAGGAGGAAGAGCGGCACAACAGTGAAAGCACCTTTAGTAAGTATCAAGACCACCCAGCCCTTGGAGTTAGTCTGTATGGATTTTCTGACATTGGAACCATGCAAGGGAGGACAATAGTGTATACTAGTTATCACAGATCATTTCACCCGCTACGCCCAGGCTTATCCCACTAAGAATATGATTGCTCGGACAACAGCCGAAGTATTCTTCAAGAACTTTGTGGTTAACTATGGACTACCTAAGAGGATCAACTCGGACCAAGGAGCGAACTTTTAGGGAAAGCTTATGAAGGAGTTGTGCAGTCTCACACAGATCGACAAGTCGAGAACTACTCCTTACCATGCTATGGGTAAGGGTCAATGTGAACGTTTCAACAGGACTCTACTTAATATGCTTGGAACCTTGGATGCTATTGGGAAGAAGGACTGGAAGAGCCATGTAGGTCCTCTTGTACATGCATACAACTCTACAAGACATGAGACGACTGGATACTCACCATTCTTCCTCATGTACGGTAGACATCCAAGACTTCCTGTTGACCTAGCTTTTGGACTGGAGATCGACCCAAGCAAGGCCAAGTCCCTGTCGGAATATACTAAGTCCCTGAGAGACCGACTGAAACAGGCGTACGAACTTGCTGCTGAAGCTGCTGACAAATCCCAAACAAGACAGAAGACTAACTATGACGCCAAAGCTAGAGCTGCCATGTTGGACGTTGGAGACAGAGTGCTTGTAAAGATCGTCGCTTTTGATGGGAAACACAAGATCGCAGATAAATGGGAGGAGAATGTTTACGTAATTCTCAAACAGCCTGATCCTGCGATACCTGTGTTTGTGGTAAGAAAGGAAAGAGATGATGGGAAACGGAGGACTCTCCACAGGAATCTACTGCTCCCCATAGGATGTCTGCCACTACCAGTTCAAAAGGCACCTGTCCCTACTGAAAGACCCTATCAGAAATACAAGACATCAAGTGCTCCATCCGGATTATCAACTCAGGATGTTACGGAGAACTTGTGCCAGGATCAAGAGGAAGATTCAGATGATGATATTTGTATTGGGCCCGTGACCTCATCAGAACCCTCAGTTTCAGCTGGTGTACCAGCTGATGGGCCACCTGAGGGTGAAACTGAAGTTGTTACAGACGTCGCTCTGATTGAGGATCACAGGTTAGATGACCTACAGAGAGCCAGAGATGACGTGGATGTGACTGTGGGTACTCCAGGTGATGTCGTGGTTTCTGCACAGGAGAATGTGCAGATTGAAACCGAAGCTCCTGGACCGCCCATACTACCTGTCGACTTGTTGCAAGAAGAAGTCGATGCTTTTCTGTACAAGAGGATGTGCAGATTGAAGCCGAAGCTCCTGGACCGCCCATACCACCTGTCGACTTGTTGCTGGAGGATGTAGATGCTTCTGCACAAGAGGATGTGCAGACTGAAGCAGACACTCCTGAACCACCACCAACAGTGACCACACCTGACGACAGACCTAGGAGGAGGATGCTACCTACCCCACAACTTAGGAGGTCACAGAGAGAAAGGATGAAACCGCACTGGCAGACGAGTGGGAAGTATGTGATGGCGACGACACAACACCAAAGCCAGACTGGAAATCAAGAGCAGATTACCTTAATTCGTTCATAGCCACAGGAGTCGTAGCAAGCAGATGTGACCAGGCATCAGAAGCTCTTGTGAATCTGGTAACAGGAAAGCTATGATGACGAGGACGTCATTTGTCGAAGGGGGGAAGTGTGTGGCAGTGTCATTTCTATAATTTATCTGTATATATATATGGTATTGGTTTTAGACAGTGTAATTGGTGTATTTTATTAGATCATGTACGGTACAAGTTTCCAACCTGATTGCTCCAAGCTGAACTTGGGCTGGTAAGTTCTTTTGTTTATTGTCAGGGGCAATTCTTTTCAGATTATTCTTTTGTCTTGCTTTTAGAGGGCAAGCTTCTATACTAACACAGGCACTAAGTCAGTCTACTATACACAGCTC